AGTAAAAGTGAATGTTTCTTTGCACAGTAGTAGAGGGCATCACAGTGAACACGTGTGCAGTAAAGGTAGTCACAAAATCTTTAAAAGTGCGTTTCAGCGGCTCATACCCGCGGCTTCCCATTCCACTTTTACCGTAAGTAACAGCAAAAAGGAGCCACTCACTTTTAATGTGCGGACCCCATTACGGTAGACTTTGTAAGTGCGCCTCCTCCCTTCCTTTTCTTAACGTATAATACCAAAAATATGATGTTATTTCTACTACATAGGCTTTGCTTACTACAGCACCAGTGCTACGGTACAGCAATGCAAGAGTGATGGAATACTAAGGCTGCGGACGCTTGTTTTAATATTACTACTACATGTACAACTTGTGGCCATACCTGCAGGTGAGAGCTAGATTCTCTCTGACCTCTGACGCTAAGCAGGGCAGGGCCTTGTTAGTACTGTGATGGGAGACCTCTGGGAACACCATGTATGTGCCATAGTGGGGCGGCTGTGGCTGTAAAGTGCCAATCTGTGGTTGTGTTGTTAGGCAAGACACTTCACCCAGGCTGAGAGGATAGCACTCTCACCTCTCAGCAAGAAGGTCCTGGGTTCGAATCCCGGTCGGACCAGGCCCTTTCTGAGTGTAGTTTGCATGTTCTCCCCGTGTCTGCGTAGGTTTCCTCCGGGTACTCCGGTTTCCCCTACCACTAAAAATATGTACAATAGCGCTCCTGTTCGGCGACCCCGCTCCCATCTCTGTGTGGAGTGAGAGGACAAGTGCCCAAAAAATAACAATTGTAAACCGCTTTGTGACTCTGGTCTGTGAAAGGCGCTATATAAATAAAGATTACTTACTTACTTACTTACCCACATTGGAGTGAGTCTGGTGTGTGTGAGTGGTTGGTGGTTGGTGGTGGTGGGAGGGGCTGATGGCCTCACTTCTGTCAGTGTGCCCCAGGGCAGCTTATCATCACTGTGTATGGAGTGAAAGAATAATGGCATGTGACGTGTCTTTGAGTGTAAAAAACTGATTAATATTATTATTAAATGTAACTGTATCTCTCAGGTGTTGACGTGTACGACCACAAAAGGGAGTAGCTCTCTGCCACTTCTTATTTGGTAAAAGTAGCTCTCAGGTTGAATAAGGTAAAAGCCCCCCGCCGTCCAGTGTCCCAAATCACATTTGGGTTGCCAGATCCAAACTTTTATAATTATTTAAATATGTTTTAAGAGTTTTAAGAATTTGCAACAAAAAGTGAAGCAAGACTCTGGCGGCACAATCACAGAGTCCCCCCGCCTCTTCTGTCCAAATGCTCTGTTTTCAAACTCGTTATACAGTGGCAAATCCTCACATTATAAAGTCATGTGTTTATAAATTGTCTTCTGCTTTTCAACCAAAAGTTTTGGCCCCGATTAGTTTCAGAACTCCTCCCGTGTTCACAACTGACACAATGTTAATAATGCATCAGTTTTATTTAGCGCTTTTTTTGAACAATCAAAAGCGCTTCACATGTCATTATTGGTTTACTCCATACACGATAGCCACAACTGCCCTGGGGCACACTGACAGAAGTGAGGGCCACCATTACGTGCCATCGGCCTTGGATAATTACAGCACACAGAAGGGGCAGGGGCACGTGTTTGGACCAGCACGGATAGCCATTGATTACCTTAGCTGTTAGCTTCCATGTCGGCAATGAAGGTTCTAACATTTTATCTATTGACTCGAAACCTCAGCACATCCCTCAAAAACTCAAAACAAATCCATAAACGCTTGAATATTTGAATAAGAGCAGCGCAAGTTAAGAATGATGTCAAATAGATTCATATTTATCTGACATTATCGGTGATTGTCTAGAAGACTTATGATGGAACTTTCCAGAAATGTATATAAAATGTTATTTTCAAATCAGAATCAGAATCATTTTTATTGCCACGTAAGTAACAGATGTCAATTAATAGAATTTTCTAACATATCTTCATTAATTATAACTTATTACAACATTGTACATAGTTAAACTCATAATGGAGTGGGAGAAGGAAAAAACGTAGAAATTCCCCGTGAATGTATGTGCGTCTCCATGGAAACCAGACAAAAAGTGATGTACTGTTCTGATCATAAAGCCTGATTCTTTTGTATGTTTTAATTGATTACTTACATCTGAACACACACTTTTTAAATAAACAAATACATATTATTTAATTTATTTTGCTGAAAGAATATTATTATGACACAACTCTTTGAATGTTGCCATTTTTCCAATCGTTTTTTAGACTTTTTTTTTTAATTTTCCCAACTTGTATTTTTGAATCTTTTTTTGAATTTTCTTGATTTTTCTGCATGCGCTGTGACTTCGTCTGTGGCTGGGCAGTAAGACGTTCTGTCCTTTTGTAGGTGCTGACTCGGACGCTGGAGATGGACTAAAGACACTAAACAACTGAACTTTTTTTTGTCACTTTTTTGTCCTTTTTGTTTTTCTCGGTTTGGAAACAAGACAATCTTTTGCTGCTAATGTTTGCCTTACAAGCGGAAAATCCAGAACGGAACGGACATAAACACGGAAGAAGAATGGAGACGGAAACATTTTTTTAAATATATTAGAGTCATTTGAAGGGAACTCTGGATTATGTCTTTTTCAAGTTGGACTTCGAACAAAAACATCTCAGTGATTCTCCATTTCTCTTTTTCTTCTGACATCAATCCGTAAAGTATGAATCGTATATATCTGAAAGTATAATCCATAGAAACGTATCCTGTTTGAATTAAAACATGTTATTTGATTAAAGTAGCAATATGTAAGATTTTCATGTCAAGTCATCATTAAAGGACCCTAATCTGTCATCATTAAAGGGCCCTAATCTGTCATCATTAAAGGACCCTAATCTGTCATCATAAAGGGCCCTAATCTGTCATCATTAAAGGCCCCAATCTTTCATCATTAAAGGGCCCTAATCTGTCATCATTAAAGGCCCTAATCTGTCATCATTAAATGGCCCTAATCTGTCATCATTAAAGGGCCCTTATCTGTCATCATTAAAGGCCCTAATCTGTCATCATTAAAGGGCTCCGATCCATCATCATTAAAGGGCCCTAAACTGTCATCATTAAAGGGCTCTAATCTGTCATCATTAAAGGCCCTAATCTGTCATCATTAAAGGGCCCTTATCTGTCATCATTAAAGGGCCCTAATCTGTCATCATTAAAGGGCTCCGATCCGTCATCATTAAAGGGCCCTAAACTGTCATCATTAAAGGGCTCTAATCTGTCATCATTAAAGGGCTCCGATCCGTCATCATTAAAGGGCCCTAATCTGTCATCATTAAAGGGCCCCAATCTGTCATCATTAAAGGGCCCTAATCTGTCATCATTACAGGGCTCCGATCCGTCATCATTAAAGGTCCCTAATCTGTCATCATTAAAGGCCCTAATCTGTCATCATTAAAGGGCTCCGATCTGTCATCATTAAAGGGCCCTAATCTGTCATCATTAAAGGGCCCCAATCTGTCATCATTAAAGGGCCCTAATCTGTCAAAAGGCATTAATAAAACATGTTCTTTTCCAATACTTCTTTAACTGATAACAGTAGTTCAGAGATCTTTGAATTTCTAAATTACTTTTCCAGCCCCTAAATCTTGTTTTTCTTTTCATTTCGATGTCCTGCCGTCCACCGTTTCACCAATCAGAAAGTCTGTGATCTGGGCGCCAGAACTCACTGCGTCGAGTTACTGTCACTGGTAAAAAAGGCGTTGGTTATAGATTTGTTGTTGTCAAAACTCTTATCTATTCAGATATTATGGTCCCAGCTGGATTCGTCTGCATATCTGGCAACCTGAGTCAGGGAGAGTGGAAGAGGCTGCAGTACCACTTTTGTCCACATTTTTACATACTGCTCCTTTAACATTTAAGGGATAATTAAGTACATACAAACATTTGGATCATCTTTATTTTTGCGTCATTTATCAGGCCTTATTTATGATGTCAAATTTGAAAACCATGTATTTTTTAAACAATTTTAAACTGAAAGAGTTCAATCATTTGTAACAGCCAAGATCGATGGAAAGAAAATATGTGAAGACTAGTTTCTCCAATTTGTGACTTAGATTTTGATTATTAATCCCTGGAGTCGGAATGGATAGGCCTAATATGTCTTATCCATTAAATAATAATAATGCTCCCAGAGACGATCACAGAACTCAGAGGGATAAAAAATGGATATTGCTGCTTCTAGTCCAAATTTGAAATGGAAAAAATATTATGCGTAACCATTGTTTATAAGTGAATAAACCATGAGTAGTGTATCTGTACAGCGTGTTATGGTGGTGTGTGTCAGTGATCCAAGATGGCCGACTGTAATGTGAATGTAGCCTTTGTAACCAGAGCTTTTAGTACAATAAATACAACTATATTTCACTCCCTCTTCTCTCCTTTGTTTGCCTGATTAAGACTTTTATTACTCAGCCTTGCAGTTGAAGTTTGATGTTTTTTGGGTTTTTTTCTTGCATTACCAAAATCAGAACACATCTCCTTTAACTTTGATCTCAAAAGTGAGTCAGAGTTGTCCCCATCTTCCTCCTTCTCACGAGGTTCCTGCCCCAGCCGTGATCTAACCTACACCACTTCCTTTCTGCCTGATGCTGCCTGTACACACACACACACACTGTTGATGGCTGTCCCGTACACATGTACACACACACACACGCACACACACACACAGGGAGCGCGGTCGGATGGAAAGAGCGCAGGATTATGGGTTTCACATAGACTCACAAAGGCAGTGGTCGGTGAAGCGCAAGGATTTAATGAAGGCCACTGTTTGCACTGAGCGAGCGCAGACATGATATGTACACACAGAGCAGACGCACACAGACATGAAATGTACACACAGAGCAGACGCACACAGACATGATATGTACACACAGAGCAGACGCACACGGACATGATACGGCAACTCGCTTCCTTTTTTAGAGCAGATTATGACTCGCACTATTTTAGTAGTGTCCGGCTGGTCCAGAATATGGTAAAGCAACGGGGCTCCAGATATTGATTAATCAGGAAACCAAGTCCTCCCAGGGCCTCTTCTCAGGGCCTCTTCTCCCAGGGCCTCCCCCCAGGGCCTCCTCCCAAGGCCTCCTCTCAGGCATTCTCCCAGGGGGCTATACCTGGTCAGTCATTACCCAAATCTCACGACTAGAGGTGAGAGTGGGAACACAGACTGGACGTTATTCACCACAGTCTCATACTCATACTCAGTGATCACATCACTGCAGACGCTGCACTGACCGTCTCTCAATCTTTTGCTCACTGTGAACAAGACCTGAGAATCTGCAGCTCCCCTTGAGAGAGAACCTCAGCGCCTGGAGAGAGGATAGCAGGGAAGATTATCCCTGGGGGAGTTCTGGGAACATGATTGAGGATCGCCCAGATCCAGAGAGCTGGTGTGGACAGGTTTGGGGGAACTCCCATGATCCTCTAGTATGAGATGGATTAGAGCTTGTCCAGTGTCCAGTGTCCTGGACCAGAGACTGAGACATTAATGGGAGGTGAACAATGTACATGTTCTTTGGGTCTGATTTTAACTTGATATTGTTCGCTGCTATTTCCACGGCAACAGATCCCAGGCCCCCTCAGCTGACCCCTTAGCGCTCAGTTCAGCGCTAACGACAACATTGATATTCGGCGAGAAGCTGATGTTTACAAATGGGACGGAGCGGGTCAGTGGAAAGGCGCGGTGCATGACAATGAGGGCTTGTGTAGGTGTGCACTTGTGTGTGTGTTTGTGCGTTGTTTACGGGGTCACAAGGATCAGTGGGGGTTAGGTGCATTACACAATTACATCTAACATTATATGAAAACAAACAAATACAATAAAGAATTTAGATGAATCATTCTGAGGAGTTTATGAAATAAGGCCTTTGTACATGTATATACTACACGGTGGCTGAAGGGTTAGCACTCTCACTTCTCAGCAAGAAGGTCCTGGGTTCGAATTCCGGTCGGGAAAGGGCCTTTCTGAGTTAAGTTTGCATGTTCTCCTCGTGTCTGCGTAGGTTTCCTCCGGGAGCTCCGGTTTCCCACTAAAAAACATGCACAATAGGTTTGAATGTATGAGTGAGTGAATGGATAGTGTTTGGTCAGAGGCTTTGATGGTCCAGTGTGTCCGGTGTCTCGCTTCTGTTATCACCGTGTGTGGAGAGAATGGAATAATATCTGAACTCTGAACAATTTTAAAGCGCTTTGGGTGATCATCGCTATACAAACAAACCTTACTTACTTACATATGAAAAGAAATACAATAAAGAATTTAGATGAATCAATATGACGAGTTTAAGATAAGATAAGATAAATGTTATTGATCTCACACTGGAGTAATGTACACGTCATATTTGGCCTGGATAGAATCACTCAGATTGTGCAAAAGACAGAAGTGTGTTTTGTTTTGTGATATAGATGTATTTCCGCAGGTTGCCCGGGCCTCACTGCTACAATCCAAATGAAAGTCTGTAATTACACTGCTCTGTATCCACGCTCCAGTGACGCTGTTGGAGGAAAACAAAGCTTTACCACGCAACGGCTCATCTTTGCTTCAATCCAAGACAATAAAAACAGCACTATTCCTAAATCGCTGGTGTGTGTGTGTGGTTGAGCCGGTTGCTCCTCTGGCTGTGCGTGTGACTCAGAGCAGTGCATTGTGGGTACAGTGGTGACGCCGCAGGTGGAGGTCAGGGGCAGAGGCCTTCACGTCACATCACTGTCAGAGCTTAGAGAGACTGCTCATTTCGATCAAACTGGACCAATCCACTCCGTTCAAACGTGTGTCAAGAAAAGTCGCCACAACAAAGGACACACCAGCGATTCTTTATGTCATTGTCCGTGTGTCATTCGGACCAGAAAGGATCTCCAGGAAAAGATTAAGAGATTCTTTATTCATCCCACAGTGGGCATAAAGGTTGTGTCACCGGTTACAGAAAAGAAGGAATAAGGAGCACACAACATAAGAAAAATGCGATCAATACAGTCTCTAACTGTAGCATGATGAAGAAGCAAGAATTATAATGAAGTCTCTATCTTTAGCATAATAAAGTAGTAAGTATATATGTATTTTTTTTGATCATTTGACAGGGACATTGCACAATAATTGTATTGTTCAGACCAGACATAGCTATAGGCTCATTTTCATTCACAAGTAAGTATTATATTTCACAGACCAAGGTCACCCAAAGCACTATACAATGTTCAGAGTCAGATATTGTGCCAATCATTCCACACACGGTGATGACAGAAGTGAGTCCAGAACACACTGGACCATCAGCTCCAACACCATCCATTCACTCTCTCATTTACATTCATATCTATAGTGCATGTTTTTAGTGGTAGGGGAAACCGGAGCACCCGGAGGAAACCTCCGGGTGCTCGGGCGGCACGGTGGCTGAGTGGATAGCAGTCTCGCCTCTCAGCAAGAAGGTCCTGGGTTCGAATCCCGGTCGGACCAGGGCCTTTCTGAGTGGAGTTTGCATGTTCTCCCCGTGTCTGCGTAGGTTTCCTCCGGGTACTCCGGTGTCCCCTACCACTAAAAATATGTCCAATAGTTCTGGCATGCGCTTCCTGTACTGGCGACCCCGCTCCCATCTCTGTGTGGAGTGAGAGACAAATGCCCAAAATTAACAATTGTAAACCGCTTTGAGACTCAGATCTGCAGTGAAAAGGCGGTATATAAATAAAAAAAAACTTACTTACCTACACAGACACAGGGAGAACATGCAAACTCCACTCAGAAAGGCCCTGTTCCGACCGGGATTCGAACCCAGGACCTTCTTGCTGAGAAGCAAGAGTGCTATCCACTCAGCCACCGTGCCGCATCCGTAGTCCCTGAGGCAGAGGCAACGTGACAGCAGGTTTACAGAGTGCAAAGGATTGATATATATACAGTATATATATATACAGTATATATATATATAACGGCCTAATTAGCAAAATACAGGTAAAATACAACACCTCTAATCACAAGGACACAAAACAGTATATACAAAATATACAACACACAATTATTTACATCTGACTGCAGACTTGATTACCTTTAAGCCAGTTTTTTAGGCTGAGTTTAAACTGCCCCAGTGGGCTACACTCCCTCACAGACAGAGGTATAGAGTTCCAGACCCGCACAGACAGAGGTATAGAGTTCCAGACCCGCACAGACAGAGGTATAGAGTTCCAGACCCGCACAGACAGAGGTAGAGAGTTCCAGACCCGCACAGACAGAGGTAGAGAGTTCCAGACCCGCACAGACAGAGGTAGAGAGTTCCAGACCCGCACAGACAGAGGTAGTGTGTTCCAGACCCGCACAGACAGAGGTAGAGAGTTCCAGACCCGAGAGACACCCGCACAGACAGAGTAGAGAGTTCCAGACCCGCACAGACAGAGGTAGTGTTCCAGACCCGCACAGACAGAGGTAGAGAGTTCCAGACCCGCACAGACAGAGGTATAGAGTTCCAGACCCGCACAGACAGAGGTATAGAGTTCCAGACCCGCACAGACAGAGGTAGAGAGTTCCAGACCCGCCGACAGAGGATAGAGTTCCAGACCCGCACAGACAGAGGTATAGAGTTCAGACCCGCACAGACAGAGGTTGGTTCCAGACCCGCACAGACAGAGGTAGTGAGTTCAGACCCGCACAGACAGGGTAGAGAGTTCCCGCACAGACAGAGGTAGAGAGTTCCAGACCCGCACAGACAGAGGTAGAGAGTTCCAGACCCGCACAGACAGAGGTAGAGAGTTCCAGACCCGCACAGACAGAGGTAAGAGTTCCAGACCCGCACAGACAGAGGTAGAGAGTTCCAGACCCGCACAGACAGAGGTAGAGAAGAGTTCCAGACCCGCACAGACAGAGGTATAGAGTTCCAGACCCGCACAGACAGAGGTAGAGAGTTCCAGACCCGCACAGACAGAGGTAGAGAGTTCCAGACCCGCACAGACAGAGGTAGAGAGTTCCAGACCCGCACAGACAGAGGTAGAGAGTTCCAGACCCGCACAGACAGAGGTAGAGAGTTCCAGACCCGCACAGACAGAGGTAGAGAGTTCCAGACCCGCACAGACAGAGGTAGTGTGTTCCAGACCCGCACAGACAGAGGTAGAGAGTTCCAGACCCGCACAGACAGAGGTAGAGAGTTCCAGACCCGCACAGACAGAGGTAGAGAGTTCCAGACCAGCACAGACAGAGGTAGAGAGTTCCAGACCCGCACAGACAGAGGTAGAGAGTTCCAGACCCGCACAGACAGAGGTAGTGTGTTCCAGACCCGCACAGACAGAGGTAGTGTGTTCCAGACCCGCACAGACAGAGGTAGTGAGTTCCAGACCCGCACAGACAGAGGTAGAGAGTTCCAGACCCGCACAGACAGAGGTAGAGAGTTCCAGACCCGCACAGACAGAGGTAGTGTGTTCCAGACCCGCACAGACAGAGGTAGTGTGTTCCAGACCCGCACAGACAGAGGTAGTGAGTTCCAGACCCGCACAGACAGAGGTATAGAGTTCCAGACCCGCACAGACAGAGGTATAGAGTTCCAGACCCGCACAGACAGAGGTATAGAGTTCCAGACCCGCACAGACAGAGGTATAGAGTTCCAGACCCGCACAGACAGAGGTATAGAGTTCCAGACCCGCACAGACAGAGGTAGAGAGTTCCAGACCCGCACAGACAGAGGTATAGAGTTCCAGACCCGCACAGACAGAGGTAGGGAGTTCCAGACCCGCACAGACAGAGGTAGTGTGTTCCAGACCCGCACAGACAGAGGTAGTGTGTTCCAGACCCGCACAGACAGAGGTAGAGAGTTCCAGACCACATACAGTAGATAGTTAGATAGATAGATAGATACTTTATTTATCCCTGTTGGAGAAATTCAGGTGTCCAGAAGCAGCAAAAATAAAAAATGAAATTGATCATTCTAAAAAGCTTACATTAGTAATAATCAACAACAGCCTCAGGTCACAGCAGCAGAGGTGGAGTAGCCCGTGGGTGGAGCAGGACAGGTAGCCGCTTGGTTCGGACCCTTTTCTCTACTCTAGTCCAAAATGCTAAATGCTTCATTAGCATTTTTTTAAAAGTTAGCATTCCTCCAGTGGATTTTCACCTGATCCGCTTGGTTCAGACCATGACTCCTCTCTACTTTTTAACACATATACAGTGGTATGTTTACATCTGTGCCTGTTAGCAGCACGAGGGTCTGGGGAAAAGTGACAGTGACACATGCGGTGCTATATTGAAGATTATGACATTATTATTGCACAGACACTTATCTTAAATGAAGCAAATGTAAATATGAATGGGTGTTAAAATAAAGCATTCCTAAAGATAATTTCTCATATTTTACATCAATAAATTAATTTATTCCTGTCCCTAGAAGGCATTTGTGTGTGTGTGCGTGTATGTGTGTGTGTTTGTGTACGTGTGCGTTTGTCCATCCGTCCGGCGGCCACTTGTATTTCTGCTCCAGTTCAGCGCAGACTCCTCCACGATCCGCTCCCCCCTCATCCCTCCCCCCTCTGACACGGACGCACTGACGAGCCTCCCCCGTGGGGTCCCCGGGCTCAGGGGCCGCGGTCTCAAATGAAGCGGAAAGACCAGAGCGTGGCTTCCTCTGAGACCCAGACTGTCCACACGAGTCTTACTGTATCCTGCACCACAACTGTTGGATTCTCAACAAAAATCGTCCACAAAATCATATTTACAGAGTTTTCCATGTCATATACAGTACTTACACAAAACACAACTTATTTTCTTCTTAAGCAGGACTAAAGATGGACTACGGCAGGACTGAAGCAGGACTAAAGTTGGACTAAAGCAGGACTAAAGCAGGACTGAAGCAGGACCAAGGCAGGACTAAAGTTGGACTAAGGCAGGACTAAAGCAGGACTAAAGCTGGACTAAGGCAGGACTGAAGCAGGACTAAAGCTGGACTACGGCAGACTGAAGCAATACAATACAATACAATACAATTTATTCTTGTATAGCCCTAGGTCACAACAGAAGTCATCTCAGAGACTTAACAAAACCATTGAAATCACCAACACAGGTCAGAGAATCAACAGCCAAAACACATGAAGAATATAAAGCACACACAGAAGAAAATGTCCATACATGTTGTAGAATGCTAAAGTGTCCTGATCATCACCAATCCTTTCTGTTGGACACTAACTGTCCAACAAGACCCTCCTGCATCGACAAGGAACAACTCTTAAAAAACCCAGTGGGAAAAAGTGAGAAACCTTGGGGAGCACTAGGGAAACCCACAGGGAGGGAGACCCATATGAGAAAGGGATCCGCTCCTCCGGACGGACAGGCTAATGATCCAGGACCTAAGCTAGCTACAGGACGTGGACCAGTGGCCGCTGAACGTGGACAGGTCCGGTGCAGGACCGAAGCACTCCCCGGCGGGTCGGGCGGGGCAGTCCGCAGGTGTAGATGGAGGAGGCCAGGCTCAGAGATCCCGTCATCGTACCATGAAACAGACAATGGGACAACGGGTGAATAGCAATGAACAAACTACTTTCAAAATCCTAATAATGCTAAACAGATAAAGTAGGAAGGAGGAGAGGATAGTGCTGAAGTTACCATACTTTTCCAGCAGGGGGCTCCCTATGCAGCTTGACTGACAGTCTGAGGAGTTTAGCCTTCCCTGAGTCTTACCTTCCTAGCCATATGCTAAACTAAAGAGGACTGTTTTAAACCTAGCCTTGAATAAAGAGAGCGTATCTGAAAGGAGGTGAGACAACGGCAGCCACGGCTAGTCTAGGTTACAGCACCAAGATTCATGGATTGCACACCAGGTGTCCAGGCAAACCTAATTATATATTATATATCATATATATCATATATACCATACATACCATATATATCATATATAATCCACAACATCATATATTGTATAATATATAACATAATATATAACATAATACAGCATATATATATATATATATAATATATACAACATATATTATATATTACCTAATTATAAGTTTTTCCGCGTCACTTTTAGGAAGGAAATTCCTAATTTTAGCGATGTTCCGTAAGTGGAAGTACGCCGTTTTAGTTGCTTGGCTTATATAAGCCTTGAAGGAGAGTTCTTGGTCAAAAATGACTCCAAGATTCCTCACAGTGTTACTGGGTATAATACTGACATTATCAGAGTAATTATCTGGTTAGCGAGGGAGTCACGCAGGCGCTTCGGACCGAGTAGGATCACTTTTGTCTTCTCCGGGTTGAGAAGTAGTAGTAAGTAGTAGTAAGTAATCTTTATTTATATACCGCCTTTTCACTGCAGATCTGAGTCTCAAAGCGGTTTACAATTGTTAATTTTTGGGCATTTGTCTCTCACTCCACACAGAGATGGGAGGGGCCAGGAAGGAAGTTAAGAGTCATCCACATTTTAAGGTCCTTTATGCAGGCACTGAGCTTTTCTAGCTGATCTGTCTGATTTGGCTTCATCGACAGATAAAGCTGTGTGTCATCTGCATAGCAGTGGAAATTAATTCCATGCTTTTTAATAATGTTTCCTAACGGCAGCATGTAGAGAGTAAAAAGAATGTGTCCGAGTACCGAACCCTGCGGCACACCGAATTCTACTCCAGAAAAAGCCGACGAGTTCTGATTTACGTTGACAAAGTGAAGAGCAGGACTAAAGATGGACATAAGCAGAATTTAAGCAGGACCAGGCAACAGTGGCTCAGTTGATAAAGCCTTGACCTTTGAGCCTGAAGGTTGTGGGTTCGACCATAAGACCTACTTCACGACTCCCACTGATGACTGCTGTGGTTGTGTCCTTGGGCAAGACACTTAACCCCACTTTGCCTGAAGCCCCTGCTGAAAAATCTCAGCTCCTGTGGACTCACCACCTGCAGGAGGATCAGTGAGGGGGCTGGTGCTCTGTGTACTGGGTGCAGCTCTGACTGCCATCCCCCCGACCCAGAAATGGATTAAGGGGAAGAAAATGGATGGATGGATAAAGCAGGACTGAGGCTGGAAAAAAAAACACCTTTTATATTCACCTTGAGGCTATAAAATATCCTTAAAAAGCCACTGTTTTTGGTTGAATTAGGTAACTTGTTAAGTTTAAAAGAACCAAGGAGTGGATGAAACAGAATCCAAATAAAAATGAAAATTGTGGGTTTTAGTCAATACTCTGGAAAACTAAAGATCCATTTGAAAAAAAATGACTCATTGTTCTCAGGTCAAATATTTATGTTCAATGAATCAATGACAGAACCTATAATTCATTAGATGTTTTTATTTTTTATTTTTATCGAGTCCCAGTTCTATCATCAATTTTAAGTCTTTAAGGACTTATTTTTTCTTTGTATTTAAAGATGTCCTCCTGGTTCCTTTCCTGTTTGGAGCAGTGTAAAGGGGGTTGACCTGGTCTCGAGTCCACAGACCAGAAAATAGACTTTTTTGCTGCAGTTCAGCGAAGCAGAGCGAGGGTGGACGGGTTTCAGTAACGCGAGGTCGCATTTCACAGGTTGAGGAAATTGGGTTTTAAACCAAAAATTAGCATTTTGGTGTCGGACTTTATTCTCTCAAGAGGATTATGTGTCCACAGTCTCAGGGTCACCACAAACTGAACTGTTATTTGGTGAAAAAAATACATTGCTCTGCCAAACCAGAGGCTGAAGTATCCTTTACTTTACTTTAATTAATCTGACTTAATCTGACTTTAAACCAGTACTAACCAGGCACCAATTCAGAATAACACCGAGCTTAATCCAGACAAGAAAAATGTCTATTTATTTTTATATTTAGACGTGGACTGATTTCAAAGTATCAGAATCAGAATCCTTTTATTGCCATGTGAGTAACAGGAAGTCACAACCGAGATATTGCTTTGGCTGTCGGTGCAAACAAGTTAAAGGTGCAGTTAGCGATGTTGTTAGCTTAGCCGTAGCGCCAACTCGAAACCACTCCCCCCTCCCCTCGCCCCTCCACCAAACCAAACATCCAGCATTTTCTTTTCTTTGTCAGAACAGGGAGAATGGGCGGTAAAACATGAAATTGGCATTTTTTTGTTCGGACATTTTAGGTTTTAGAAGATAATCCGCACCCGCGAGAAACAGGAAGAGGGTGAAGGGGGTAAACGCATCCCATTGGTTCGTTGGGGATGAACAAATCCCATTGGTTAATATTTATCAGTCCGCTCCAAAATATGTTTTTATTAATTTTGGGAGACTAAAGGCATCTGGTTAATTCCATAACTATTTGAAAACACATGATAATTTTTAGGGTTTAGGGACGTTTTCCCACAATATCTAAAAAAAATGCATCTGGAAAAAATCACCGACTGCATCTTTTAAAGCAGAATAAAATCAAGGGCATGCATAAATAAAAATCTACATTCATTTCATTTGAGAGTGATGAGATTCACAAAGCCTGGTCTGAAAGTCCTTCCTTCCGCCACACGTCACATATATGTTTTTGAACGTCACCACACTTAATACACAAGAATCTTCTGTGATAAAAACTCCTCCTTTCCACCTCCCTTCTTCTCTCCCCTCTCCTCCCTCCTTCTCTTCTCTCCATCCTCCCCCCCCCTTTCCTCTCCCAGATGTGCTCTTCTCACCTCAATGCAGATCGTTTGTTGAAGCAGTTTGATTCTTTTCCCGGCCTTTTCCTGGGGTCACTAAACACCCCTGGGGGACTCCTGGGCGACCGCAGGGGCCCCTGAGCCACTGTATTACATTTACTTGCCTTTTTTCAGGAAAGGTATTAGAAAAGGCTGTTTACTTTAGGTTAAACTGCAGCTTTCTGGTAGTGAGCAATGTTGTTAGTTTGTTCCAATCAGGATGTAGGGCCCACCAGAGACTGCCGCGATCAAAGTGACAAACAACATCAGTCTCAACCGTGACGTGTCCCGGTCCTGGTCTTGTTGGATCTCAGTGCAGCTTCATACCACTGTTAATCCTACTGCAGAGGCTTGAGGACTGGGTTTGCATCCGCCTTTAGCTTTTGCAAGTCGTACGTAAAGGACAGACATTCTTTCGGCCTAAGCGGAGTGCCCCGAGGATCAGTTCTCGGCCTTTTTCTTTTCCCTATCTATGTTGCCGTTGGGTTAAACGATTCAAGACAATCATGTGTCCCATCAACTATGATGATGATACAGACTGCAGGAAAATATGGGCCTGAAGCTTCACTCTGTCACTGCATCCAACAGAACATTACATGAACGCAGGACAATTTCTCGAGTTAATCTCAAAGAAAATAGACGTCATTGTGTCTGTGCAGCTTTCTCCAATCTTCCCCCTCCCTCTCTTTAAGTTCCACGAATGAGGTCAGAAATCTAGGGGTAATATTGGATTTGGATAAGGCTTCTTAATTTGAATAGCCACGATAAATGTGTAATATCATGGAGCGGCAACAATCTACCTGAGCAAGTGCGACAGGCCGCTTATTTAAGTCTAGGCTGAAAACAGTTTCTGACGTCATCTATCAGCCAGAGAGTATTATCTGAGTTTTTCAGAGTTTCAGGACGGAGATTCTGGGTTACGGCCTTTTGTGTGGGTTTTAATTTGCTGGTTATTGCTTCTGAATGTTGTCAAAGTAAAACACGTTGTATGAAGTGCGCAATACAAATCCCATTTTCATGATTAATAATTGATAAGAGTGGGAATGACTACACACTGGGACAGAACCAGCCGTACTTATATATGTACTACTTCAGTTAAATAGACTTTTTTTTAAATACATAAATAATACATGTTGTTTGTCCCTGCAGAAAGAGCCTTGTAAAAGTGTTTTAGAGCCAGAAACGAGATACATTTGAAGATTATGTACAGATAGTGAGTTCTGAAATGGACTCTCCGCAGCTGTGATGTCATAAAATTCTAAGATGATTAAAAAGTCGTAATCTTTCTCGTATTAGGCTGGAGGTGGGAAACTACCGTCTTCATCTTTGTCAACTCTTACTTATTTAGAAGAAGAGTAAATGAGTAATGAAGGCAGCGGCGGCTCTGTTCTCGGCCCACTTCCGCCCGTCTCTGCCGGTTTGGGGACGCGACGTAAAAATGAAAGTTGAATAATCCTCACTCTATGATTCATTATTTACACTTTTTTATTATTAGTTCTGTGTTTTTGTCAAAGGGAAGGAAGCAAGCGACGCTCATTCAAAACAGCAATATCAGGTTTCAATTAAGACTGGAGCAGGACTGAGGCTGGACTAAAGCAGGACTGAGGTTGGACTAAAGCAGGGCTAAAGCAGGACTAAAGCAGGACTGAGGCTGGACTGAATCAGGACTAAAGCAGGGCTAAAGCAGGACTAAAGCAGGACTGAGGTTGGACTAAAGCAGGACTGAGGCTGGACTGAATCAGGACTAAAGCAGGGCTAAAGCAGGTCTAAAGCAGGACTGAGGCTGGACTGGAGCTGGACTAAAGCAGGGCTGATGCAGGACTAAAGCAGGACTGAAGCAGGACTAAAGCAGGACTAAAGCAGGACTGAGGCTGGACTGAAGCAGGACTGAATCAGGACTGAAGCAGGACGAAAGCAGGACTAAAGCAGGACTGAAGCAGGACTAAAGCAGGACTAAAGCAGGACTAAGGCAGGACTAAGGCAGGACTAAGGCAGGACTAAGGCAGGACTAAAGCAGGACTGAAGCAGGACTGAAGCAGGACTGAATCAGGACTAAAGCAGGACTGAATCAGGACTATATCAGGACTAAAGCAGGACTGAATCAGGACTGAATCAGGACTAAAGCAGGACTGAATCAGGACTGAAGCAGGACTAAAGCAGGACTAAGGCAAGACTAAAGCAGGACTAAAGCAGGACTGAAGCAGGACTAAAGCAGGACTAAAGCAGAATAATCAAAATAAAATCACATTCATTTCCTTTGTTCATAGAGGTTTTAAAAAGTCCTGCGAGTCCCGTTTGTCTCGAGACTGAAACCTGAGCACAAACTAGACCAATTTTATGAAACCAGCCTGGGGTCTAATCCAGTTTGTTTTCCATATGAACCGTTACTCCTGATTCCAGCTTCTTTGAAATCATTCGGTCTTTGACAGTATGTTGCTCAGAGCGTGTTGCATTCAAAACCAGGCCACAGCTTAGATGTATTTAGATTTTCACAAAAAAAAAAAAAAAAAAAAAAAGGGAGCCAAGAATGAGAGTGAGCAATGTGGAGGCGGCAGCAGCCAGTCACCGCCGCCGCTTTCACAAGAAAACCATCCAAAATAATCAATAATGAGGGTAGAAAATGAGTTTAAGGCGTAGGTTAGACTGTTTTAAGTTTGAGGTTTGAGTTCACCTTAGATTATCAAATGAACTTTACAGACCTCATACCGAATGCCAACGTACGAACATGAGACAGAAGTTCACATTTTCAACATTATTACTTTGGCTTTAAGATAAGATATTCCTTTATTCATCCCACAGTGGGGAAATCACAGTTTGATACAAGACAATACAATACAGTTATTTCTTGTATAGCCCTAAATCACACCAGCAGTCATCTCAGCGGACTTAAAGGTGCCATATTTAGCTGTTCTTCATGTTTCACAGTCCATCCTATGCCCATGTGTGTTCTAACTTGTCAAATTATAGCCATTTTGTCAGCTCATCGGAAACGCTTGGATCTGTGCTCCTCTGCCTGTGATCCCGCCTCCCCCCGCACGCACGGTGACGTAGCATCACGCTAAGTTCAGGGGTAAACAAAAGCTAACTGTACAGCTTTTGTTGTTACAGTGATTTCAGACCTGAGAATAAACTTTTTTCCAACAATGATCGCTCATGTGTACAGCCTCGACCCAGAATCAGACCCTGATTATCTAGTTCACAGTGACACACAGAGTTAGCATCACTGTCTTCACCGAGGCTCCTGTTAGCGTCTTTTATGTCAGAAATAACACATGTTTCCAGATCAGCTTTGAGTTGGTCCCGTTTCAAGGTAACTGTAGTTCTGGAACAGTCTAAGGTGGTGTCACCGTCACTCGCAGAAAAACATCTGCGAGTTTTGTCGCAGATTTCAGACTCACGGATACGAGGCAGATCCCCGTGAACAAAGTCGATCCACATTCTCCGTCTTCGCGCCAAATACTATCGTCACATATTTACACCAAAAGCACATTTTCTTCAAGTTGGCAAGGTAAAACTAAGAATACACACATCAAGGCATGCAGAGAACATTACTTCCGGGCTCCTTTTCGGCAAAGTGGGTTAAGTGTCTTGCCCAAGGACACAACAACAACAGACATCAGAGGGAGTCGGTGGAGAAGGTCTTGCGTGGGCTCGAAACCCACAACCTTCAGCTCTACCAACTGAGCCACTGTCGCCTCATTCTTTGCCTTTGTACATTTCTCTTTACCAGGAACTTACAGTCGATATGTTTCAACCATTAGTTCTCAGTTTCAATCAGAGGTTGTGCGCCTGGAGCGTTCTCAGAGACCATGAAGAGAGAACAGGACATTAACTGTAGCTAAAGCTGCGGCTGAAAAGGACCCAAACTTGTGAGCATAATGCAAGACTGTAATCATTTATAGTATTTATTTTTTTTTTTTTTATTTTTTGTATTTTGTATTGTATTCTTGTTTATTATTTAGTATAACTTATAACTTATTTTTTTTAATATAATGATGTATGTATAACGTAAATGTGATGTATTTCTAGGTTTTAGGGACCGGGTCTGCAAACTAGCTGTTAGCTATACGGCCTATGAACACAGCATCGGTTCCTGTAACAATGCTTCTTGTTCTGTCCCTACCAAATAAACAAATAATGAATGAAATGAAGCTGTGCCACGTCTGGAACATTATCGGCCATGTTTGAAAACCTCACACCCACCGCCGTTATTCTAGTCGAGTTTGACATAATGCGGGAAAACTGCTATTTCTGTGGATGTCTCTGACGGAGGAAATCAGCACCTTGTATTTGCTCAACTGTATATTTTTGATTCACACTTGGAATATCAGTTTGTCGCTTGAACAGTTTTTTGCATATTAACCTAGACAGGTCGTACCATACCATAGTACAAATTACATTTCGTACTAAGGTCTGGATTTGCTCCAGTGAGCTCCGTTTACAGGTGGGAGGGGTTAACTCCTTTTGCAGATTGAAACCATTGGATCTGAGTTTACCGTAACGTTTGTACTGCGCCCGGGTGAGTCATTAGCATTTAGCATTTAGCCTAGCTTTAGCCATCTCCTTTGCGGCTAACAGAGCCCGTGGGGAGTAGCGCCACAATCTTTGCCAGGAATTACATTTGCTGAACATTCCTCTTGCTCCGGCTTCAATTTCTTGATAGAACCAGACCGGATTACTTTACTATCTACTATCTAGATAGGAAAAAGGGGATGTGGGGAACAAAAAGGGGAGAAAAAGTAAAGTTTGATGCATGCCAACTAGTGCAACAATGTAAATACAATGTAACACTTGAATAAAAATTGATCACAAAAAAAAGAATGCCGGAAAACAAGTGAAAGTGCAGTTTACAAGTACAGTAGACGTTTGCAAATAGAACTCACTCAAGGTTGGAATGGTTTTGAGAAATGAACAGAGGATCACAGACAATGAGAATGACATCTTATCTATTTATATCTAAAAGTGGGACATTGGCTCAGTCCACGACGTCTTTGTCCGAGCAGTTTGACTATGAAAATGATAAAACTTAAAATTGATTTTTTTGCAGAAATTGTCAAGAACAACCCAGAACGCAGAGATTCTTGTGTCATGAAAGAGTAAAG